TCTTGCGAATGATATTATCAAACGCAACGGTGTGAAAGACCTCTTCTTGGGTGAAGAAGGAGTCAAACGCAAGTGTAAGGTGTTGACGTAGTTCCTGCCTGGGCCTTTGAAAAAGAAGGTTAAAAATGAGCTGGAATTTCGCAGCAGTGAAGCAAAGGCATCTGTGAGAAAATTATTTGCTTTGGTGAATGATTTTGCTCTGGAACTGCACAGGGCAGACGAATCTGCGAGGCAGATGAATGCCAGAGTTGCAAAACAAGGCAAAAGCTTCAGTACGAAGAACTCTACGAAGTCGTTTGGTAAAACCTGGCAAAGTTCCGATGTGAACTCGGCATTGGCTCGATGTTTCCACAGGGAAATCATCAGTAGTCGAACGTCCACACTTCCGTCATGCGCCAAAATGTCAGCAACACTTGGTGAAGGCAACAGCTTGGACTTGGTAGGCGACGGTGATGGTGACGGGTTGCAAATTGCGATTGGCGCTGAAGAATCTCCAGAGCTCGCTGGAACATCCGGTAGGTTGGCAGTCGACGCCATATCGACGGAATTGTTGGACAAGTGGCCTCGGGCTCGGATGAGTTCTGGAGCGAGGTCAGCTAAATAAAGCAACAGACGTGGAGTCCTTCCGTCGAAACGGACGATTGGTATGTAACTATTTGCCAACGAGTTTAGCATTGTGAGAGTTTCCTATGCATACGGGCAGACTTAAACGTAAGCTGCATGTATTAAGCACTGCACATTGTACATTGTAGATTGTCGCGCTGTCGCTGCAACTTGCGCGGGCTTCCAGATTCCGCCACCGTCGTAGATTCGCTGCGAGAGCTACCATGAGGCTTAAACTGTACATCGATCGGTCGGCGCGATTGATAACAAGCGCCACCGCAACCAAAGCTGCGAGCTGTGAGAGCAGGCATAAACTCGCCAGTTGCCCGCAAACAGTGGCGACTCTGAATCGCCAAAAGGTGGGACCAGTGTTGGCCCGCCGATGTCCACGCGCACGCAAGTCAGGCAGACGCATCGAGCTTCGTCGGAGTCAGCTGGACACCCGGACCTGCTCGGCCAGCAGCATGTACAGTCGGTGGCACGGCCAAAGATCCATTTGACACATTGATGGTAACAAAGGCATGCGCCGCATCGGCTCACTAAAACGAGAGCAAATAAATACGCAGCCAGCATTTCGTATGGATAACAACCTTAGTCAACGGCCAAGAGTCAACCCATCGACACTCACATGTACAATGCTGAGCTGTAACAAACGAGGAATATGCTATAGTCTAGTCTAACGTGCTTCCCTAAATTGCACTGTACTTGTGCGGTATATGGAGACTTCAAATCGGCATTCGTTGGTGCATTCGTTGGACACAATGTTCACGGCTCTGATGATAAACAATGTACCGGTACGTTGCATTGACTTGCTCGCTTTCGCGGCTGCAGCTGCAAGAGCGGTTTTCAGCTCAGTGCATGGAATACCCTCCAACAAGAATAAAATGTCGGTCCTCGAAGTCGTGCAGTCTACAAGCCTAAGATTAAAATACCTCTCACCCCTCCATCGGAATATGGAATTCAAAATTACGAAAAATGACTGTTCTGGGGTGCTTAACTAAAACGAATCACCATTGTGCAGCACATCCAAAGTAGGCAAGCAAGGACACTTGCTGGTTGCACCCTTCCTTCCTGCTTAGCTCGTGTCGAAGCTGTCCCTTCATCGTTCTAAGCACCTGTACACACCTATCCGACACGCCTGTTGAATCTGCTCGAATAAGCAGCTTTGCAATCCACTTGAGGTGCCTTTTAATATCCACAGAATCGAGCTCTATATCATTATTATCTGCTGCGCATCTAGTATCCTCGCGGGCACCAATTGATGAGCATGGTGCTAGCTGACTTATGTTCAGCTGGCATATTGGGGGTACTAACGTTAGCTTGGAAAATTAAAGAATGAGAGAGACTCCGGAAGGACCGCAAATGCAAGGAATGAAATGGATGGTAATGTTCGGCTGGCTCCTGTACCATTTCAAAGGTACACTTGGCTGAGCCACCCCACAACAAGAATACCATCAGATTGGCATACAATGTTGGTTCCCCACGCTATGACTACCGAAGGGTCCATCTGTACTGTATTCTGAGCATTGTTCACACCGGAGACGCTCGCTTCTCATAAATCTGTTCATTCACTGCCGTACAGACAATCTCTCGGTAGTAATCCCAGCACTGGAATACACCCTCAATACCGATAAGTATGACTCACCCTCAGTTGTAAAAATGAATTCAGCTGCAGGCATTTCTAAATTCCTTTTTTGAGGTACTTAACCATGAGAAAGTTCCTATTCTACAGAACACCGGAAGAAATCCAGATCATTCCAAACTATTAATACAAGTGCATGTTGTGCTGCTGGCAATCCTCTAGCTGCTGCTTACACGACATCCGAAGATAATCAAAAACTTTAACAATGCACCAGTACGTTCTTCCTGACAACCCAGACTACAACAAGTTTGTGAAGTGATGCGGGTCACTGCATGCGATGGAGAGTAAGTGCGAGGAATAAGCTGATATATATACTTGGTAGTGCTTACGGAGCTCTGAGTTTATCGTAAACTATGATCCATTATCACAACATTTGAATTCCTTATATAAGCATAAAACGGGGTCTCTCGACGATCTGAGGGGATTGTCTGAGCGCCAACGCGTACTGTAGCCTGGGTTGGCTACCGCCACAAATCGTGAGCATTGACACGCACGCGTGCCCGCCTGCTAGCGTCACACAAATTCATGACGTAAGGTCATTTCGATTCGGACAGGCATGGATGACAGCTACATAAGCGTGCCACACCTTACATGTAGACTGTCCGCGTTTCATTGCAGCCGTCGCTTCAAATCGTACCCGGTTTCCGGGTACGATATCCGGGCCGGACAGCCGCATGTGCTTGACGGATAAATCAGCGGGCGATTGGGTCGGTCGGTTCCATCCGTGTGAATCAAACGTTCGAGGCTGCCTGTCGTCTGGAGCCGCTCCACTGCTTCGAAAGTTTCCTACGGTGAGGCCACAAAGCCTAAAACTAGTATCTTCGAATGTTGCGTCACTCGCAGCAAATTCCAGGCGCTCTTGAAGCATCCGGTGGCACCACCGACCAAGTCACCATTCTTGCCACCGAAATTCTCTGCAACCAAGTTGTTGCGCTCGTCGCAACTGCCTTTCAGCGCGTTTCTGCTCTGATCGGGTTCGTCTGCCGCCCATCCTCTTGCTGACTTGACGCCGCTCTCTGGCCAGTGGCCGAGCGTCGTGCGCAATTCCGTTCCAGCCCTCACTATCGATTTCCCCGCCACCGAGGCAACTCGTCGTCGCTTTAAGGTGGCAACGAAGCCTTTAAAAAAGTCAAAGCGTCGGCCACATATTGCAGACAGACACAGATATGGAGACAGCAGACCAGAACATGAAGCTGGATGAGATAAAGAAACAGGTGCGGTGGGGCACCGTGAGTGTTCTGGAATTCCGCGTGGCTACAACGCCAGCGCCGTACCGGAAAGCGGCGGTCCGCCCGTGGGTCTGATCGGTCGACCGACGCGACACTCGTACTCGATGATCCCCTCGGAAGACGACGTGGAGAGCACCGACAGCGAGTGTGAGGACTCGGACTCGGACGCCGAGATGCTGTTGCTAGAGACGATCCCGCTGTCCACAGGCTGTGGCCGCCGCAGCCGCAACGACCTGTGGCTGGACCCAATGGACCGCGCGCGTACCCTGGCGGAGGACCATGCATTCCCAATGGAAGACATTGCACTGATCTGCCGCGACGTGCGAGCGACGTTAGACTCGCGATTGCTCTCGCGTTTGGACAAGGTGACGGAGAAGAGACTGGAATCGTCGCAGTCGTCTCGATGCAACGGCTTGTGCAGCTCTACGAGACAAAAGGTGTTGCTGTATTAAAAGCTTCGTCAATTGCTTCGGTCCGAGTGAGAGACCAAGCAGGCACAACGACATCTCACGTGTGAAGAAATAGTTTATCCGAGAGCACCACCATGAGGCGAGCCGTGGATGGTCTTATCAGTCCTCAGTCTTGAAAGCCTCCGTGCGCTCTTGACGTATTTATTGCTCCGATTGAGGAGAATTTAAGAAATTAAAGAAACTGTATTCACTACGACAAATACATGATGCCTTTCAACATTTATCTTTGATCATTATTCATGTCATGCTGCAGTACTCGGGTTCCATCTGTACTGCTTGCTGTCAAAGACGCCACGAACGCTTCACTCAACTTCTGTCGACAAGGGTGTGGTGCACTTCTGTATCCGGTAGTACATGTAGATTTGAGCGAATTTAGTTTATCCGTGCGAGCCGATTCGATAGGAGTACTGTACTGTTACTGCACCAAACCTGGGCCCTTCGTGTCGAAGTTCGAACGTGCAGGCTGGAATGCAAGCTACAGTATCCATGCCTTGCCCTGCGCAAGGCAATAAGTAAGCTGCAGTTAAAACACGCCTGCGCGCTGAAAGCTGTACAGTACATGTGTATTTTAATACTACTGTAGCAATAAATACAAGTAATGAGCCATTACTTTTTTCAAGCCTGCTTTGTACCGAAAGTACCAGAAGAGGTAACGCTCCGCAGTGTGCAGTGGAAGAGTTTGCCGGCCATACTCGCCGGTGGCTTTTAATACTGGTGTCATATTAGAGTGCCATTGCCACCAGTTATTAATAATTGGTGGACAAATCAACCGAGCGCCGAGCGTGAATACATGCATGTAAACAAGTGCCGATAGGATATGTAAACTTTACATCGTAAATTAAAGAAATTAAACATAAAAACATGTACATGTTTATGATCGGTACATGTACAGTGCTGCACCCCGTTTTCGCGCCCCTGGACCTTTGATAAACTTCCGGATGTGATGATCCTAAATCCAAATTAACTATAATTTGTTAGCTAAAATTTGATTTATTTGCAAATCCAATATGGTACACGCCCGCGAAAACGGGGTGCAGTACTGTACATACATGTACTTCCTCCGCTCACTGTAGGGGAATTTGACAAGAGTAAATTCAATCTTAGCTGACAAGATTTCCCGCCACCTAAACTTGCAGCCTGTCTGTCCGTCTGTCAATAAGTCCGTCCGGTTCCTTTCTTGCTGATTTTTCCTGCCTTTTCGCATGGCTACACTCGGCCTTTCCAATAGAGTTTCCTCCCATCGTACCGACCGCGCCTACCTTTCTGACTCGACCTAACTATGCCAAAATTACAAATATATCCAAAAGCGTGACACAATTAACTCGCGCCCTGATTGGGCAATACCTGCCGACCTGCGACACTGACTGGATCTGTCGCACGATCAGACTGCCTCTCGCCCTCGCGATTGGACGTGATGTAAGCATTTCTGCCGAGCACGAAACGCATCGATTGGTTGCAAATAGCCCGGCGAGCTGCGCAGATACTTGATTATTGCGCAAAACCTGTCGTATGTACTGCAAATCGGGCACACTAACCAATTTATTTTCTAAGAGCTCTGCACACTTCTCAAATAGAGATATTTATCATTATTAATGTAGACTTCACAGACCAGTATTTTGTAAGAGCTCTGGGATGTTATTTTTCACACACTTTTCAAAGTAAAGACGATATTAATACATGTATAAGCTTCACAGGCCGCATTTGTAAGAGCTCGGCGATGCTATTTTCCACACACTTTCTAAAGTAGAGACGATAGTATTTTTAATATTAAAGTAGGCTTCAGGACCAGCGGGACTTTGCGAATATATATCTTTTTGCTTCACCTGGCACTCACCACTGCCACCGTGCAATGAAGGCGCGCGGCTGCACGGTCATTGCGCTATCTGCTCCCGTGCACCGCATCTGATGGATGCATGCGCGCACGGTACATAGTGTTTTTAGTCACTTTTATTGCATGTAAAGTATGTATTTGTTTAAATATCTGACAGTATTACTATTAAAGCAAAATATTAAATATCAACTTTTGAATATTTTGCTTAAAAATAAATTCCACTCTTACAGTACCGTGCTATTGGCTAATATTTGGACGCAAGTAATTGGTTAAAACAATATAATTTGCTAACATACTCACAGTTTGCAAAATGGCGGGCCCTATGTGC